TGTGAAATGCTCTCTTCTAACCTAAATGACAGATAACCCCGTCCAACAGAATCTTTCTAATACTTAGACAGTATTGTTTAGCTTCCTTGCAACATTTGGTCATGTCTTCTTTGGGCTAAATAAACGTAGTCTCTTCTTGGTACAGCACAAGGCAGAGCCCCAAGGATCTAAGGGCTGGCAGGTAAGCACTGCAGCCTACTCACTGTGAAGTGTACTTAATCTTTCCAAACTTCAGTTCCTCCACCTGTAAAATAGGATTACAATATCTCCTTGATGGGCTAAATGTATGTATAGTGCCTGACATACTAAGAACTCAATAAATGGCAGATATTTGTGTTGTCATTTCAAACCAACAGTCTGATGAATGTAGCTTGCTATGCTGCATTCATACAAAGTTGATCACAGCACTCCATCCCAGTGTGACAAATGCAAAAATCTATCAATATTATTTGAGACAGATTTTTGGTTCATCACTGAAATACACTGCAGGCTTCTTTGGAAGGTATAGTGGAAGAAGTGACATCAGATCTATACTTGTACCAGAATTTTGATTCTTTCTAGGGATGGAAATTAGGCTGCCCTCTTTCCTAAGGCACAGTGAAAGCCAATGAGGTAGGCTTAAGTCAGAAAACCAGGATCTTCCTTTAGTTAACATTAATGCGTTAGTAGCTCCTCTTGGCATAGTTCAATGTGAGGTATGACGGGTACAGTAGGGATCCCAGCACCTGTGGAGGTATGCCCAGTAAGAAAAAATATGCATGTGTATATATGTATTATATATAATATATATGTATTGTCTATAACATATAATTACATGTAATACATATAATAATTATATATAATATATAACATTATATATGCAAAAATACATGATCATCGCTTACAGCATGGTTAGTTCTTTGAAGCATAAATGTTGGCTTCTATGAAAAGGTTTGCAGGGCACCCAACACTGGGCAGAGGTAGGGTTGGGATACTAATCAAATACCCTGACAAGAGGTATTTTGGCTTTGATCTAAGATTTTGTGGCAGCCAGGCACAGAACATTCACAGTTTCAGAGATCTGAGTAGGTCATTTCCTCTCTCTGGTCCTCAGTTTCCTCCTGTGAAGATGAGAAGAGGTGAAGTAAGAGCAGTGCTCTCCTGGCTTCTCAGGAGCCCTGTTTCTGTCAATGCAGCTCCCAGGCCACCTGGGAAGAATCAAGGGGGCTAGATGGACATAGCTGGCTGCTCTCTACTCAAAAAATGCACATGCCAATTAGCTTGATTTAGCCATTCTATGGTGTGAACATATTTTAAAACATCCTGGTGTACACTGTAAATATGTACAATTTATCAAATAAAAATAAAGAAACATAAAAAACAAAACAAATGTTTGAATGTCACCACACTAGGAAATCTCAAGATCTTTTGCAGCTCTGATAGTCTGACTTGTGGCCCTCACCTGGAAACTAAAAAAAGGAAACACACTATGTGGGGAGAACTCTGGAAGGTGCCACCCTTGACAGGGCAGGTTAAAGCCCCTGAAGCTAGGAGGGCAGGTGACAGCTGGGGAGAGCATGGAACATACATTAAGTCCAACGAAGGCTGCACGGATCCACTGGTACTTGTGTATAGTCACAAGATCAGAGTCACAAAACCTCCTCAGAGCTCCCAGGATGCCTATAAAGATCTTGCTTTGGTGTATTTCAAAAATGGCCCCTTTGACATTTTGCAGTAGAGCAACCATCTGACAAACACATCCTGCAGTCTGAATTGCTGATTGCCAGGCTACTGCCAATGACCGTGGAGAGCACAGGCTGTCTGCTCCTGATCACAGCTCTTGATGTGTCGAAGGCCCTCCCAGTTGCTGGGTGTCCATGTGATTGAGCCAGATGAAGAATTAACTAGGGATCCTCAAGAAGTCTCATCTTCCTGCCAAGCTCCCCATTAGCTCCCCTGCATCCCTCCCTTCCTCCTTTCTTCTCCACCTCCCTTCCTTTGCTAACTTGCTCTCCTTTCCCCACCCCTCTCCTCTTGCTCAAACTTTTGCAAAATTGAAGATTTCTTTAAATGCTAATCCTTAAATTGAAGGGTGGTCTGAAGTAGACTCATCATTCCTTTATTAAGATTTAAGGCCTGAATCGAAGGTTTTCTTGCTGCAAAACTATGACTTTGAAATCTAGGCAGCAAGGTTAATGCCACGACATTGTTTCAAGATTCATTCCTGGAGCCAGCACAAATCAGGCATTGCTGTCGCACCTCCTTTACATGCCACTTCCCGGGCCACAGACTTTCAAAAATGTATTTATGCCTAATTCATGTAGAAGGGAAGTTAGGGAACAAGAAAAAAAGGAAGAGGTGGAGGGGCAGTTTAAAAAGGAGAAAAGGATGAGAAAAAAGAGGTAGAGAGATACTGATAGAGGCAAGAGAAACAAAATGAATGGGGGGGGTAGGAAGCAAGAAAGACAAAGACAAAGGACAACAGACTGTACTGATTTATTGGAGAAAAAAATTACCTGCAATAGAAATAGCACTATTTCTTAATCAAAGCTTTATTATATTTTGGTAATAAAAAGTTAAGTGGTTTGGAAAGAAAGAAGCACAAAAGAGCCAAGCTATCAGTACAGGGAAATTTAGGGTAGGATTTGAGCATGTGTAAGTGGAGAGAACAGGATTGATCCTAGGAAAGGTGTGGGATTAGACCATTCTAATCCAAAACAGATACAGAAAAGATCCTTGAATGAGCAATGATGTTTCAATTTGTAGAGTCCCGAATTGCTGAGGCAATTGGAAAAGAGGCCTAGAATATCCAAGCTAATCTTGCCTTCTATGCTCAAGAAGGAAAACAGATCAGATATGTCTTATGGTTCATCTCTCGCTTCCTACCATCCATAACTCCACTGGCTGTTCATGCAGTTTCTGCTTGATAGAAGAGAGAGCCAAAGCAAACTAACGAGACCTTCCTAATGCTGTCCAGGGCTCTCTGCCTTTCTTTCTGTTACCACTGTGGCCCCGTTCCTTCAGTCCTGTTTTCTATGTCACAACTGGGAATTGACTCCAGCCAGTTACAAATTGATAGGGTTTTGTTGACCTCAGTTTCCCAACTCCATCCTAGTGTTTACTGCTACAGGAACACTGACTGCCCCCTAGGTAGTAGATATTTTGTTCTAGCTTTATTTACCCTGGGGAATGCTCTCCTTTTGCAATGTAGCTACAGATATCTACTATAATTGCTCTGACTTCTGTACTAAGGGACAAGCAAATATCAAGGCCAGAATAATCACCAGCTGAAAGAAATGTGCTTTCAGAAGCTAAAGGTTTACATAAACTTTCCAGATATCAAAGCCAGATGGTGAGGTTTTGAATATGACACAGAAACTGACTTTCTGCATTTATGTTCAACTGATCTGAATTCACTGAGGGATCCAAATTGAAAGACATTCCATGTCAGGTCTTAACTATCATGACATGTAGACACTGTAAAGCAACTAGAAACCTTCATGACATTCATATCCCCACAGCAATCCTAGCCTACCTGGAACATTGCTGTCTGCTCCCAGAACCTATTTGCCAGGCAGGACTGTGGATATGCTGATAGCACAAACATGGTAACTACCTGGTATGCCATTACTACTCCTTCCCAAATCCATGACAGACTTTGTAATTTAAACCCAGCAACAGTGACTTCAATACAGTACAATCAAGGCTAAGATGGGAAACCTTAGGGGAGAGTGAAGGAGGCTCATCCACCCAGTCTTGAAACCAGGGAAAGGATTTTTGTAGGAGGCAATGTCTGAGATAAGCTTTACAGGGAGAGCAGAAGCTAGAAATTCTAAATGCTGAGCTTCCTGCACAACATGCTCAGCTTGCTAAGCATGGCCAGTGTGTTGGAAACCTGGCTAGGTGGCTGAAGCCTGAGTCAATCTATATCTACACTGGCTATTGTCTCCTGGGCCGGTACAGCATGTCTGTTAGCAAGGCAATTAAGTGGCATGTGACTACTTTCAGAATTTTACACATCCTAAATACCTTTACTTCAGGAACCTCAACTGTAAGCTTAAGGCCAAAACAAAGTGCGTGTATAGAGGGTAAGTTGGCCTCACTCACCTCTCAGGACTCTCTCCCTGTGAATCATCAAGTTTTTCCCTGCCAAAGCTGAGCTGGGAAGACTCAAAGATGTGTGACTGGGGGGTGTTTTTATTTTTATTTGTTTATATTTATTTATTTGTAAGTTTTATTAAAGTTCACCAATTACCTACAGGCCTCAGGCTTCCTATAGAGAAATAAATATCACAATTGAAGCAGCTCTTTTCCAAGATGCCAAATTAAAATAGATGAAGAAATGGGGGAAATGAAAAAATAAGACCATTAAGATAACACATCTCCACTCCCAAGTGCATCGTGCCTTCTATTGTATTGCACAGGTGAAATTGACTCCCAACATAATTAGGGCAGGGCTATACACCAAAATCCTCACAATTGCTCCAACCCCCAGAGCAAATCTTTTTCAATCACTCTAGTAACTGAGGAAAAAGCCAACTTTTAGTATAAATTTGTTATCAACATCCACATTGTCCTAGCAATTCTCAGCACTCTACCAGCCCAAGAATGTATGAGCTGAGTTGGGAAACAAATGCAAAAATCTGCTACCTATCCAGTCCTAACCTTTTCTTTTCCTGGACAATACCACAGGAAACTGGAGTCTATTTCAACAATTCTTAAGGGCTGCTGACTAACTCAGCAGGAGCTGGGGTGTCCCCAGGGCCCCAGTGAACAACATTCCCCCTTTAAAGTCAGTTGTCTTGGTGGCATTGTGTGTGGACATGTCCACATGGAGAGATATGCACTCTCTCCTTGCAGCCATGTACATGGAACAACCGTAATATTCTCCATCTCATCCCAAAGATCCAGGACATGGCTTTGCTTCCTTTTAGGTCAGAAACGAGCCATGGAGACAAAAGAGCACCTTTCACTAAAATCACAGGAGAAAGAAATAACCACTTTTCAAAAGAGATGCTTACTGGATTTCAGCAATACTGCCAAAACTTCTGTGGCTGCCCTGGGGAAAGAGAGAGAAAAGTGAAAAGTCAATGTTCAATGGTCTTTTTTGTCAGCCCATAGATCCCACAGCCAGGGTGCTCATCTGTGCCACCTAACAGGCCCATTATTAACCAGGTAGCAGGCATTCTATTGATCCCATCACTGGCCATTAAAGAGGCAGATATGCAGGAACTGCAGAGAGTGAAGTGTCCATCTTGCAAATGGGTCCCAGAGGTCCATTCTGTTGCTGCTGGAAATCTCCCCAACCCGTTGCCCTTTGCCTCCCACCTTCACCAACTTGCCAGCACAGCATCCTTTGTCTGTTGCTCATACCATTCAGAGAGAGCTCTTGTCAGTTTCTTGATTTGTACTTAGAAACAGGTGGGAACTCTGGAGGGTAGGTTCGAAGGCAGTGGGATTTAGAGGCTTAGAAAATGCAGCAGTGCAGTGCAACCTCTTGAAACATTCATGCCCCTTATGACACACTAGAAAACGTACAACACTAGAGAGAGGGGCTGTTGCCTTACAGTAGTTATGTGGGAGATTTTCCTCCAAACGCATTGCTTTCTCCCATGAAGGAACCTCATAATTTGCAGCAAAAAGAGGCAAATGGGAATAAAAATACCTTCTGACCCACCTCCAAATGATCCTTTAAGTCATTTCCTAAACATGGGAAGGAACATAAAGACTTACTGCTATGGTTTGAATGTTTCTTCCAAAAGTTTGTGAGTTGGAAACTGAGTTCCAAAATTCAGAAGCTAATCATATTCAGAGGTTGGGTCTTTCTGAGGTAACTGAGATTAGATCAGGTCATGAAGGGAGGGCCACCATGATGGCATTAGTGGCTGTACAAAAGGAGGGAGAGAGACCTATGTAAGAAGAGGGAGCTAGCACACTTACTCTGTCTCACTATCAATATCTTCGGCCATTTTATGATGCAGGAACAAAGCTGTTATCCAATGCCAGGAAGATGCCAGGGCCATACTCCTCGATTTCCCAGTCTTTAATCCCATGAATTAAATAAACCTCTATTATTTACGAATGAATCATTCTCAGGTATTTTGCTATAGCAACAGAAAATGAACTAGGACACTTACATGGAGGTAAGAAGAAAATTTCACTAGCTTTGAGAGAAATTTGGTGTGATTTTAGGAGAATTCTGTTAGCTTTTTTAAAAAATAGATACATTATATATGACCCTCATGACTCAACCTTAAAGTGTATTTAACAGTGATCTGTTCCCACCACACCTGAGGATTGGAGAAACAGGTCCCCTCTGAGATTACACAGTCAGGTGAGCAGAACTATATCCCCAAGACCAGGAATCTCATGCCCCCCTTTACTTCCCCCACACACACTATTCCCAGAACTTCTAACTGGCACTACACTTGCCTCTGCTTGGGCAGAGAAAGATGGTTCTCTTTGTGCTGTATTATGTAATACTGAACAAGAGAGCCAGCAGTAAAAAGAAGACAAATGAATGAATAAAAAGAAAACAGAAATACAGTGCAAATTCACAGCTGGGATAACACCCCAGTCCAGGTATAACCAACACAGGCATTCATAGTGAAGGCCAGGTCAGCTTCAACTGAGGGACAACTTCATTGATTGCTCATAGCCATTTTCCTCTAAGCAACTTTCAGCTTCTGCAGTCCTACTCTTATAAGCCCATCAATATTTGGCAACAGTAGATTGTTTCTCTTTAAGAAGAAATATAATCCAGACATTGATGGGAATCCAACAGAATCTGAAAAATCCAAGTTCCACAATATATAGGGCTTAGGTGGGGCTGGGGCTGGGGCTGGGGCTGGGATAAAAAGAAAATCAGTATTTTGGGAAAAAGTAGAACAGCCAAATTAATTAAGAAAATAATTAAGAAAACAACCATGAAAACAGAAAAGAATGAGGATGCTCCAAGCGAGGCACCTATCCCATTTTTGAATCACTAGCCAGGTCTGAAATGGTTAATAAGCTGGTATTCCTGATTTGCAAGGACTTTCATCTGCAAATGGGAAGCTGACAGATGAGGTGCCCATTCACCAGCCAACAGCACAATAAATGTAAGGCTCATGAGAGACAGATCCACAGTGGGAAGCATAGGCAGTAGGCAGACTAGTTAGGAGAGCTCCCACCCAGTGCCAGGGGGAAGAGATGGGTTGAAGGGAGGCTTAGAGTCTTGCTACTTAGAGCCTCTTAGCAGGAGGCTCACATTCCCTGAAAACCAACTAGAAATGTAACATCTCAAGCCCCCCTCCTACAGTGTTGAATGAGAATTCTTATTATTCTAATATATCATTCATATGCATGTTAAAGTTTGGGAATATGAAACCCCCAGCCACAGACCAGTGCTGGTCCAAGCTCTGTTAGGAACTGGGCTGCTCAGCAAGAGGTGAGCCACACACAAGCAAAGGAAGCTTCATCTATATTTACAGCTGCTCCTCTTCCTGGCATCACTGCCTGAGCTCTGCCTCCTGTCAGATCAGCAGCAGAATTAGATTTTCAGAGGAGTGAGCACAAACCCTACTGTGAACTGCACATGTGAGGGATCTAGGTTGAGGCTCCTTAAGAGAATCTAATGTAATAATAATAGAAACAAAGTGCATAATGTAATGATAACAGAAAGAAAGTGGACAATAAATATAATGCATGTGAATCATCCCAAAACCATCCCCCTGACTCCCATCCCTAGAAAAACTATCTTCCAGGAAACCAGTCGCTGGTGCCAAAAATGTTGGAGACCACTAGTTTAGAAGACAGCATCAGTGTGGCTGGATTACTTTTAAGTTGTTGAGTGGGACTCACAAGGTGACTCCTATATCTTCCACCTCTAGAAAGTACCAAATAATATGACAATATAACATAAATATAACATGGCATTATATGACATGCTCAGTGTTACATTAGTCACATAATAGAAGCTGATTCCTAAGACAATAGAAAAATATATTTCTTTATAGGTCATAATTGGAGGATCAATGTTTAGTGTAACAAAGGACATATTTAGACCAATGATGAAGATAAGATTTGAGGCCAAAGTCTAGTATTCTAAAGAGTTCACATTCGAGGCTCTAGGTAATAAGACATCAGTATTTTTTTAATCAAGGTAATATAATGTCAAAGAAGGAAAGCTAAGGTGATTAGTAAAAGGAAGGTTGAGTAAAGAATTAACAAGATTGGATGAAAGATTAGTTATGGAGGGCAAAGGAAAACAAGGAGTCAGTGATGACCTGAAATATTCAGACTAAGTAAATAAAAGAATGAGAAAGACATGAGTATACTAAGGAGGGAAGTTGTGTTGTTTGGAGAAAATGAGATTTTTATTTGGTACATGCTTAGTCTGAGACAATAATCCCCCTATATGAAATCCACTTGAAAGTGTCCAGGATGCTATTGAAAGCATTTGTACAGAATTCTGGAGGATACCCAGACTTGGGGATACATATTTACAAATTACTGTAGTTGCAATAATCATTGTAGCCATGGTAGTAGATGCAGATGATACCTATACAGAAAGTCAATCAAGAGCAAGAGATGGGCTGGCCTAAGAAAACATCACCATCAGAGAGAAGGAAAACCCTAGAGGAAGCAGGATATGCAGTGAGAAAAGGAAGAGTAGCCTTAGGGGCTGCTCAGTTCTGAAAAATGAAAGTCCCTAGATTTTCTAGCCCAATGTTTTCCAAACACCAAATTGTTACCTAATAATGGATTGTAAAATCAATTTCATAGGTTTTGGCCAGCTCCAAAAATAATATAAAATAAAATAAAATAAAATAAAATGGAATGGAATCAGATGTACCAGAGTCATTTCACATCACAAAGACTAGCAGTGAGATAAGAAACTTATTTCAACATGCATGCATATTTATATGTGCTACTTGGGAATGTGCTGTAAATGCTTTCTTTTAGAAAAAAAAATCTTGTAAAGTTATTAGGATGTAGTACACACATAAGATCAAAACAAGAACAAATATATGTCATCAATTAATGAAACTGAAAACAGGGAGCCCCCATCTATAAATACCAAGTGTCCTATATACAGCATTATATATCATATTATAACTTTATAGGAATAACAGAAGTTAAAATTACTAGTCCTGTTTTATAAATGGCAACAATGAAGTTCACAAAGAATAAATAACCCACCCAAGGTCCAGCAGCTAGCCAGAGGCGCACTGAGATAGAAGTCTACTTCGCCTCTCTCTAAATTTAATGTTCTTAACTTCCTCTTCACTTTCAACAGAATTCCAGAAGGTATCTAAAGTACCTCTCAGTGCAACTTCTTAACCCTTAAGATTAATGCCACACAGTTCAAGGTTCAAGATTAATGCCATACAGTTCAAGATTGGTACAAGGTCATGGGATTAAAACATCACAGAGCTAGGGAACCAAATTGGGCATCTTAAACTCACTGCCTGACTTTGGGTTTGATGTGGCATAGCTTGGCTGCAATTTGAATGGATGTAGACCTGCAATGGTGGTGATGGAGACAAGGACAGAGAACTCCATTAGCAGCAAGTCACAAAGCTCTTTGAGTGCCAGATTGAACTTGCTGAGCTAGAAAGAGGCTTAGGTTTTAAGCTTAGAGCAGCCTCTTTTATGGTCTTGGGTTCCAGATTTACTTGATCTTTCTGAATCTCTGAAGTCCTTTCTCCAGAAAGTGGATATAATAAGATCCAATTGATGGATGTTGCGCAGGATGAGAAAAAGCAAAAATTAAATTAAAAACCTACCCTATGCCCTGAAACAAAGTGATAATTTAAATGGCATCACTGTATTGTGGAAGGTAGAAAAACAACTGAATGAGGGAGCAGGTTCATATCTGTAGATGTGGTTGTAAGCAGTAATCTACAGGGTCATCACCTGCCATTCAGAAGAGGTCCCTAGGAAACACTGGATTCCTATCCCTGGGTACACTGGAGAAGCAAAATGGCCACACTATCTCATGAGACTTAAATATTCTATGGCTCAGATGGCTTAGATATACCAATAGTCACCAATATCAGTTATTCAGGACCAGCC